TGTAAGGCTTGAGAAAAGAAATGTTTATGAAATGTTTTGTTTACAACTTATTGAACTAATTATAGATTATATAAAGTCGGTTAAGAATGTTCCCTTTCTTGGAAAAAATGATGAATGCGTCTTTTGCTCTTATTTTAAAACTATTTTTTATATTTACCAGGTAAGACCCACTTAGCTACATCGCTATTTTCAGAATCGACTTGGCCAACAATGACAGCCTAACGAAGTGGCTCATCACGTGGACATGTATAGCAGCCAAATACGCACGTTGATCCTAAATGTGAAGGTAAAAACTAGAGGACCCGGAGAAAAATCCGCACGATCACGGGGAGTGAGACACGCAAAGTTCAAATATACAGCAGGAAGTCATGGTCGGGATCGAACCCATGATGACCGCCTGTAAACCAGGCGAGGTAGTTAACATCTCACCACCGTGGCACCTTTTATAACCAGTCCTCTCTAACACATTTCAGCATCATCATCAACCATGATAAATCCACTGCCGGGTCAAGGGTCTCCCAAAACCTTTGCCATGGGTTTCACGATGCAACAATCCACCCAGCACCTGCACACCAGCCGAATTCAACTCACCATCTGCACGGTTGATATACTTCTCGGGTGTCTTGCAGCCTTGCGCACCAGCGACTTATTTTTTTGCACAGTGAAACATTATTCTGTGCAGGATATATTGCCTCAAAATAAAAGCACTCTGCAGCACGAGTTTCGTTCACATGCACGCCTGTACGGTGTTGCATTTACTTTATTCTTCGTTGCATATTTTGTGGGAGATAACAAGTGTGTTTGCTGTGTCACGAAACTATGTCAGGCTTGTCAGCTCTTACAGATTGTCGCTCAGTCTTCTTCTTGGCAGGCCATCCGAGGCAGTATAGGGCTGTTGTCAGGTATTTCAAGTTGATTTAGAGTGCATACTCTTTGGATCTTTCGGTAAAGCCACGTAGGTATAAAATAAAATAAATCACGACGTTTCGGGCGCAACACAAGCGTCCATCATCAGGTGGGAAAGCGATGGTCTGCTGCTCAGGCAGAATGTTTTAAAAGGTTTGAAATGGGTGTAGCTGAAGGGTTATAAAGAAGTGGCCGGGGCTAGTGATGTTAATGTGAGAAATTAGCATGTAACTGTAAGATAGGAAAGCAGCCTCCTAGACGAGGGCACGGAAGTGGCTATGTTAATGTGAGAGATTAGCATGATGTTAATGTGAGGGATTATCATGATGTTAATGTGAGAAATTAGGATGTAACTAGAAAAGAAGGAGAAGAGCGGCCTCCTCGACGAGGGAGTGCAACCCAACGGGTGTAATCCGAAGGGCCTGTGAGTATGAGAGGTGCAATCCAAAAGACATGTGAGCATGAGAGTGCAATTCAAAAGACGTGAGCATGATAGTGCAATCCAAAGGAATGAGAATGCAATGCAACGAACATGTGAGCATGAGAGATCTAAGAGAAAGGCATAGAGAGAGACACAGAGAGTCGAACATTTATTTGGATGATATACATTAACAGTATATACAAGACACAAAACAATGCATGTATTCAACTATATTTACAATAACAATACGCGCATGTAATGGTGTGTGTAAATATTGATTGACAATGCAACAAAAAAATAAACTGTGCAAATAAGTCAAATACGGTTATGGGAGTTGGGCCGAGGGTGAAATTTAATAATTCCATCTTTAAAATGAATAATTCCATTCGGTCTTACAGAAGGTTATATTGAATGTATCTTGTTCGATTACATTATTATCCCATGGGCCTTCTAGACCAACGTTTTTCAGCAACTATTATTGAAGTGGAAAACCATGGGCTGGTTTCGACGTTTCTGAGTCTCATCGGGAGAGCATGGCCTGTTGAACACGTGCTGCCTGATACTATAGGCAAGGGCACACTACAACGACTGGGACGCAGTGCAATTTTACAATTGTTCCATATTTTGTTTAACTGTGTAGATTTGCCTAAATTAAATGCAATGTTGACTCGACTCTGGGATTGCAGTTTATTTAATGGGCAAGTCGATATTACATTTCTAAATATTCATTCGTACAAAAAACAAAGTCAAAACATGTTCAAGCAATGAAAACATTACCGAATAATGTACACCTGTGCAAGACAAAGAACATACCTATTTGTACGTATAAATAATAAGTAGACATGCAAACGTCTACATGAGCTAGAGGTGTTTCAGCAAGGACTGGATGTTTTATTCCAAAGAAGCTTTGCAGTTATCTGCAAATGCTTTTGCAGCTGTGGATGGCCATTGAGAATCAAGTAAATTCAACCGCTGCTTGCAGTCTGCATCAAATGTAACAAACAACGCGTCTTCTGGAAGCAGGCCTGGTGAACGGCATAACTAGCTCTGAGCCAATTTTTCCCAAACTCCAATTCCACGTCACCCAGCATTGTACATATTAATACAACTTAAGTTGCTTCATACTGCATACGCCTCATGATTGTGAAATGTTCCACGTTATGTTGAGATCGTGAGATAATGATTTGAATCCGAGTCTAACTTTATTTGGTTCAGCGCTCTCTCTCCAGCTTGGTCCAGGTGTCTTGTGACCTCCGATTCATTCTGTCTTTTAAAGTAAGGTTTATTTAATACGTAATATGCCGAGAAACACAAATGTTAGGGGTCAATTAATTAGTGGTCACACGACATCTGGACCACCCTGTACTCACTTGGATCGTGCTTATCAATCATCAGGTGTCTCCCTTCATCAGTATTTTAAATGTAATAGAATGGTCAAATCAGAAAGCTAAGTCGCGGGGACATACTTTGGAGGGTCAACTAAGTCCCTCAAAATCTGGCACGAGAGGACAATGTTTACGTTTGTTAACGTGAGATGTATAAATGATAAAACAATTCTAACTACACATGCGATTGCTATGAAGAATAGACTTTGCATAGCCGCATTACAAGCTAACAGGTTTCAACGTAACCTAACACTTCTGTGGGTTTTCTCACTTCAGAAGATTAATGTGTTTTCACTTTCAAATGTTTGAGTGGATTCATTGCAGACTCGTGGTCTGTGTGCATTCAATTCCTCGCACAAGTGATTTCACTGATCTTCTATTTCATTCCATTATAATGCTATGTTTAAAATCGCGATTGCCTGTTTCAACTTGTCATGTCATAAGCATTTGCTGCTGCTGCTGCCTGACGTTGCTCTCTTGCTACAACCACTGCGTGCTCACCGGACTGGGGTGCCGCGGTGCAAGATGTTCACGACCTCGCCTGGTATACAGGAAGTCGTGGGTTCGATCCCGACCCTGACGGCTGCTGTATATTTAAAGTTTGCATGTTCTCTCTCCACGTGTTCGCGTAGATTTTCTCCGGTTTTCCCCCGTACGCATTTAGAAACATGCCTTTCGAGTACTTTGCCTGATATGCAGTTCCACGTGTTAAGTCGCATCGTTGAGCTATCATTTGTGGCCAAGTCGCTTCTGAAAAAAGAGTTATACAGCTCAGTGAGCTTTAATTGGTGAAATATTTTTTTTTAATAGTTCAATACTGACGGCAACTCCTAATGACTCATCAGCCACGTTCATTGATGAACGAACACCGAAGCTAGTACAGTCACAATCAATTATATCACGTACATTCACAGTCTTGTCATTAACAATGGCACTGGATGCATACAATGATTCTATCTGTCGTCGTGCCACTCAGATCTCGAGCAACGTGAAGGCGTGTTTATAATCTGCAGAACGTGACTACACAAGCAGAGGGAGCTAGCTACCCGGCTAATACATCCTTCACGTCGGCAAACACACCGAGGCAACTTGGAGGTGGACGACGATTCCACCCTTTTGGGTTCCAACGGGCTTCGGGAAAGAAATAAAAATCAGTTATGGAGACGACGGATGATCTGTGTGTAAAGGGTGGCGTGGAAGCAGATGGTTCGGGGGGGGGGGGGGACAGCAAGGCAGTTGAAGCAGGGAGGGGGAAATGGTGGCCTTGGTGTGGGAAGACGGGAGGGTGAGTGAATTGATATTGAGCCAAGGTTAGATGAGACGGTGGTTTTGAGGAGGGAAGGTTGCGTGCCAATGTAATGTAGTGAATGGGCGGGTGAGACAAATGCGGCCGGGCGTGGTGCTGACCACTCACCCCCTCGTGTGCCGGGTCAGCCTTAATAGGTGCTCGCTAACAGCACTTTCCCCAACAGTCTGCTAAAGCTATGCGGGGAATCTTTGGCTTTGCTTTATAGGGTGGCCCAGATGTCTCCTGACCACCAATTAATTGACCCCTACATGTTTTTTCCCCTTTGCATATAAAGGAATATTTATTTATATTTGCTTTATTATTGATCATTTTTTCCACCTACGTGACTTTACCGAAAGAACCAAAGAATATGGATCCGTGCAGTCACAAAAACTTCAAATCTAGAACTTATTTTTAAAATATAAAGTTTTAGAGAACTAAATGGGGAGGGGGGGTCACAAGACATCTGGACCACCATCATAGTGTGGCGGTTTGGCGGAAAGAGGTGAGGTAGGTAGGGACACAGGTAAAGGGAAGACGCTTGGAATGTGGGTGGTGAGTAGGTTGGGCGCTGGGGTCTGAGACGGTGGCTTGGCAAGGGAGGGGCGGGTGGGGCGTGAGTGGTGTGCTGCGCAGAAGTGGAGTGGACATTCGTGACTCACGGGCGAGATGGCTGGTGGATGAGTTTGGTGGGGGGTGGCGAGATTGTGGGCGGCAGAGGCGGTGGCTAAGGGGCGAGGTCACGGGTGGGGATGGGGAGAGGTGGTGGGTGGTGGTTTGAAGGGGGTGGGTGGTGGTTTGAAGGGGGTGGGTGGTGGTTTGAAGGGGGTGGGTGTTGGTTTGAAGGGGGTGGGTGGTGGTTTGAAGGGGGTGGGTGGTGGGTAGGGGTTAGTACATGAGAGAGAGAGACGGGGAGTGAGGCAGTGTTGGCAGGGGAAGGGTGTGAAGGGAGTGGAAGGGGTGAGGGAGGGAACACGTCTTCAAAAAAAAACCCCAACGCCCAACCCGGCCACTCGGCGTGCACGCACGGGGGGGCTTGTTGGAGCAGCTCCGGTAGGCGGGGTCCCCCACCCCCAGAGTCACCGCCGCAGGCAGACTCCGGCTCGCGTTACACATTACCTGCCCCGGTATGAGGTTGCCAGGAGTCCGAACCCCACCGCCCCCTCTCCACCGTCACACCCCTCCCCGACAGAGATAGCGAGCGCTGTGTGACGAAAACGCCGCTCCTTCCTTACTCTCGACTGGTCGTTGCAGCCAAAGTGAGGGCGTCTCCCACCACCCACCCACCCGCCTCTGTCTTTCTCGACCTGCGGCTTCTTCCTTTGCCGACATAAGTTCGACGCAGTTGCGTGCGTTCTCACCGAGCCTCGGCTCTTCCGGATTCGTCGATCGCTCGTTGTGTAAACAACAAAACTGAGAAAAAAAACTTCATTGCGTTTTTACCATTCGTGTTTCTTCGTAAAGCAAAAACAAACCCAAGTCGGAGGGTGGAGGTTTCGTTCGCCACCCACCCACCCACTCGCCCCGATACAAGAGGACGGGAGCTGATCTCTGGTGGATCTAAACGTCGCTTGGGAAGAAGAAGAGAGGAGGCGAGGAGGGGGGGGGAGACCAAGCTGCGCCATGAGGAAGGCACCAGGCCAGCAGCAGCAGCGACATGCGAACTCGCTGCCACAAAAGGGTTTTGGAACTACGGGCGGACGAATAGTTCCACCCACGGCTGGCTACACCTACCAGCTCTCGCACCCCGCAAATGGGGTCACCGACAGGTAACTTGGAGCACTCATTCCCACCCCTCCGCTGCGAACGCTCCGGCTATTGTGCTATTTGCTCTGTTTGCTCGTGCCAGGCGTGCGGGGACGTGCTGCTGTCGGCGGTGCGTCTCGTGCTGTCTGAGAGACAAGCAAAGAGGCGAGGCAGAGTCGAGTTCGCTGCCTTTGCCCCCTAGCACGGTTTGGGTTTCGTGTTGAAAAAAAAACCGGCACGCGTTGTTAACGCGCTTAATGCAGTTTCAACAGGGTGGTCACAAGACATCCGAACAACCCTGTACTTTTATTTGAGTGACGTGCTTAAGGTTTTCTCTCGTTTGCACTTTGTATTGTTTGTTGCTGTAACTTGCTCACCCGCCCACACTGGACATCTGTGAAAAAGAGCTTCATAGCTCATCGGATTTCATGCAGTCGACAGATTCTGATTCCGGTGCCAAGTTGGGACCGTCGAAGTTGCAGTTACATAGAGCAGCAACACACACAGCACCGTCTATGTATGATGTTCGATGTTAATGCAAGGCAGTTTGTCACGATTGTTGTCATTGCATATGTTTATACAAAACCACCTGGTTTTAAGTCAACCACTTGGTTTTAAGTATACCCGGCGAAGTATAATGTGTACATGAATTGAACATCGTCTTCATCAGCCATGGTCGATCCACTGCTGGATAAGAATTATGAACGCGTTGGCCAGTAATGTGAGTGAAAAACAAACACACGCGCGTGATATAAACAATACACTTGCCATATGTTGTACATAATTTTTTATAGCTTTTATGTTTCTTACTTAAATGTACATGGGGGAGTTGACATGATTGCATTGTTGGTGCGTCTCTATTAATTGCCAACTGTAGCTACTTGTTAAAATGCCCTCATGTTTATAACGAATGCATTCAACATACATACATTAACATAAACAACCCATCCTTAGATCAGTTTAGCATGCGGTGTATGCACTATGCAATTCTGCAGCATATACATTGCAACCACACATTTGCATTGATTAATGCATGGTTAATGTGGTTAATGAAATCCCTTAAGAGGACTTAATGTAATCATGGTTGGAGACTTGATGAATGTGAAAACTAACTGCTACTGTGGCTAACCGCCGGTGGTCTTATGCATGCACATGTCTAATCCTTTGGCTTTCACTGCATTAAGATCAGAAGGCAATTATCTTTCATAGCCTTGTATTATTGGCTGCGCTGATTATTCTCGTGTTATGCTGCCACGGTGGAAGGGTTAGCGCCACTGAACTTGCAATCCAGAAGTTCTCCAGTTCGATTTCCCGGCACGGCAGTTGAAACAATGGGCAACTTATGTTCCTCTAATCACCAACGCACCACCTCCTCTGTCCACCCGTGTGTAAATGAGAACTGTACACCATGGTCCAGTGTGCTCCATTGCAAGGCCCGCGGGCCACTGGCCATTAGTGTGGCCCCCGACGCACCCGATTGAGGCTGTCAGACTTAATGGCTTGTTGGGCTCGTGTGTCTGGCCAGCATGGTAAAAGTCTACCAAAATACCCTCTAAAACCAGGGGTCAGCAGCCAAAACAACACGAATAGGCATTTTTTTTTCGAATTCGGTAAAAGACAATACTTTTTTAAATTTTGATTTAAAGCTTTCGTGACTGCAGGGATTCATATTCTTGGTTCTTTCTACGTGACTTTACCGAAAGAACCAAGAATGCAATACTGTATATTACTGTCTATTAAGAGCTGCAATGCTCGTGAATGTGAGATGGTCCGAAATTAATAAGGCCACGGAAGGGTCCTTAATGAGCCGCATACGGCTCCGAAGCCGCAGGTTGCCGACCCCTGTCCATGGTAAACTGGACTTCTATGGTGAACTGGACTTCCATGGTAAACTGGACTTCTATGGTAAACTGGACTTTCATGATGAACTGGATTTCCATGGTGAACTGGACTTCCATTGTAAACTGGACTTCCATGGTAAACTGGACTTTCATGGTGAACTGGACTTCTATGGTGAACTGGACTTCCATGGTGAACTGGACTTCTATGGTGAACTGGACTTCCATGGTGAACTGGACTTATATGGTGAACTGGACTTCCATTGTAAACTGGACTTCCGTGGTGAACTGGACTTCCATGGTAAACTGGACTTCCATGGTAAACTGGACTTCCATGGTAAATTGTACTTCCGTGGTCAGGGGTCAGCAACCAAAATAACAGGAAGAGGCCCCACTGTAGTCCTTAAGGAGCCGCATGCGGCTCCCGAGCCGTAGGTTGCAGAGCCCCGCCCTAAACGGTCTCTCTAGGGCATCCGTACGTCAACAGTGGCGTAATCAAGAAATTACAGGGCCGCGCCTTCAGCTCGTATTAATTTCCAAGCATCAGTGAAATAAACACATTTTGCTGTGCCCGTGCACTTGTTGAGTGTTTATAGTAACCAATAGCCCTACAATTAATCGGCTGGAATTACGGGTCTTCCCTTTGCATGTGGCTGTTTGGGTGATTGTAAGATGATTGCCATTCTGCTACCATGTTGCATTCCTATGCTGAGCTAATTAAATTTAACGGAGGGGTGTTTATCACTTCTGCAGGCTGCAGCCACTTTAAAAATGTAATATCAACTCAGTAATGATGTTGGCTTCTTTGTGGAGTATGATGGTGGGTTTTTTTTTAACTCCCGAATTTACATTTACAAATTAAATCCCCGTTTAATGCATTAAATCACACTATTTTGTCTCATACTGTGAAGGCTGTTCTTGAGATTGCTCGCTGGTAATAGTTGGAAAATAATTATGGTTATGAAGATAACAGTTATATTGATCTAATATAGTACGGCTATTGGGTGTTCCATATATTGACCTTAATTAAAATGTCAGAATCTTGGCAAATTGCTAACAGGAAAGGAACTCGGAGACGCCAAGGCAATCGGATGTTTTTGAAATTCAAACATTTCTCCAGTGTAAAACTGCTATTAATCAACTTAATAATTATTACAATAACCTATTAGACTTTTGATGCCATCACAAATTATAATTACATCACTGTAGTCCCTTACACCAACACACAACTTGGAATGACAAACTGATTATCTTATGACAGTAAGCATGTAATTTATGCAATAAAAAAAATCACAAAGGAATTGTGTAGGTGCCTTCATTAGCTTTTTACATGGGGTACAAATTAGATGTGTTTACATTTAATGTCACGTTATACAGGACAAGTATATACGGTACAGTTGCTTGAAAATACATGCCCAAATTCTGTAAAGTTTCCAAGCAAATGTCATAGGTCAGAGGTTGTGACCATTGCTCTTCATGAGACGACACAATCGGCCAAGTTCTACAGATAATATCAGCATGAGCATGGACACGTCTCTCCAGTGTATCGGATACAGTACTGCTAGGTATTTCATGTGCGTACAAAAAAATGTATTTTTTTCCTAAACAACCCATGCAACCTTTGGACATGTCCATCCGTCCATTCCTCCCTCGGGATGTGACGTCCTGCCAGCCAGCAACACTTTTTTTTCTAGTATGGTATGAAACGTTCTTGCTTATTTATTATGCTTTTAATAAACATGAATGTAACATTTACGCATAATTTTATTTTATTATATACATCATAGCATTGGCCTCACATTTGCATGGGATACACGATGGGTGAAGTGGGGATGTGACTTCAGCACGCATATGTGCGTGGTGATGTCACCACCGAGCACTTGCACACCAACCAGAAATCCAGTCAGGAAACCAGCCAGCAAATATTTTTTTTCCAGCAAATCTTTTTTTATCATTCTGTACAGTACGATTTTATTTTTTAAAAGCCGCAAAAATGTTGCTGCATGAAATTCAAATGTATCTTTATCATCCCTACAAGTGACAAAAAAAATAACTGAATCATGTGGCTTTTGAAGCTACCAGAAACATACCAGAAGTCCCATGATGCATCACTTCATTACTTATTCATCATCAAACATCGATTATAGAGGATTGCGTTACACACATCCAATCACGTGTGTAGGAATGTATGTTTTTTACATTCGTAAAAATTGCATTTATATTCTTATGTTGCTTTTGGGCGGAGACCGTGAAAATGTCAACCCGATACATTCAAAAAGATTGTAAAAAGAAATACATCTAATGCTTGAATGAAAGGGCAGGCAACTGACTTTTGACATCCATAAGTTAGGATTATTTGGGGTTATATTGCGGAAATATAAATGTGTTGTTAAACCTGCCACCACCCGACAGACAATTAGTAAGGTTTGTCACGTAAACAGAACGTGCCAATTCGTTAGTAGTACAGCAACACCGGTGTGTTGGAGAGCAAATCCACAACATTTGCAATCTGTAAACCTATATTATGGATGATGCTGGTCGCGAAAGCCAACGTGTTAATCTGACTTTTGATAGTTTATAGATTTGTCAGTGGTCGGGGGGTGGGATGGCAGGGAATCGGTAGTCCCGTGCCTTACACGGCACCCTTGCTGGTGTGCACCATCCGTCAATATTTTGCTGTTTCGCTCGGTTTACCTTTCCTCTGAGTGAATGAAAGTACAGTGGTTGCACCGCTGTCCGTACACACTAAAAGGTACCAACTATCTGTGCAGGGGCGGTGTTGTGCAAGATGCCAGCAACTCGATGCAGCAGGAGCTGGCAAAATGTGAAGACTGTCTGCGAAAAGCAGACACCTTCCTCCAAGCCGTGAGTCACCACCCCCAACACTGCTGCTTGGCAAAACAAAGAAAACAAGAATGCGTTACCGACGCGATCCATAAACCCTAGAATGTGTGTGAGGTTCCCACCAAACGCAGCGTTTTGTTGAGCCTCAATATGAGAAAGTATTTGGTGATGACGAGTGTGTTGTGTTTATTTTTTCCTCTCTCAATTTGAGAAGTACATTTAAACTGCACGGTGTTTTACATCTCACCAATGAGGCACGTGAACAAGTTAAAGGTGCAGCCTGCAATTGCTCGCTCAAAGCCACTACCGGGGAAATAACCCCTAGTGGAGGGAGCTCTATAGAGTCCCTCTAAAGCAGTGGTTCTTCACCTGGGGTGCATGCACCCCCTGGCGGTGTGAGATACCCTTTCCAAGAACCAAAGAGGTGCAGGCTGCAGTTAAAGGTTAAGAACCACTGCCCTCGAGGGTAATTGGCCTCGGCCTTCCTCTGCGTTTGTGTAAAAATCCACCCACTCATGAATATTAATGATGGGCCTCATGTGGAGTGACGTCACATGGGGGCGTGGGCCTCATGTGGAGTGACGTCACATGGGGGCGTGGGCCTCATGTGGAGTGACGTCCGCGCGGGACACATTCTTGGCTTATCGTAGTAAATCCTTGATCGTTTCTGCGTGGATTAAATAGGATGGGGGGGGGGGTACGTCAAACGCACGTACTCAGGTGGGGGGGGGGGTGTAAAAAGTACGCGTGCGTACAGGGAGGGGTTACGTTTTGACAGATTTCGCTAGTGCCGAAGGTAGGTTAATGTTAGTGCTGTAACAATGCATCGATTCACCGATTAATAGTGTTTCCTAAGCTAAAGATGAGGCGATATCCTTTATTTAAGCAGGAGAATAAATGAATGCGTAGAAATGAAAATGATTGCATAGGATCGCATGTGTAAAGGTTTGAGTATTGTATTACTTTGCTTCGTATACACTGCTGTATGTAAATGGGACCATTGTGAGCTTGACAGACACCGCATAGAATCAAATTACGACATTTAATCTCATCGCCAAGAGTGACTCATTTCGCCCCCTGCTTAACAATATATGACATGCAGTGCAGTACTTTAAAATGTGGGTGTATTGATTGTGAAGCGCAACCAGATATTACTGTTACTTATCTTGAGTCAGGCGAGAGTTGGTGTTTTTTTTGCATGCCATATGATGGAAATGTCCAGGTAATAAACTCCTTAAAAAATATTTTTTTAAACAACGGTTTTGTTTTATTCACAACTGGCGTGCCTGGTTCTTGGGTGAAGCGAATCCAGAGTTTAGGGACCGCGGCGTTTTTGACCTATACAAATATATATAAATAATAAGGCGCCCATACAAAATATACATTACTTTAAAGTAGCGATTTAATTGATCAATTGATACCGATTTTAATACAGGCATGCATTGTCACCGGATCTGAGTACGTGTGCAAAATGTGGAATTGATTGAACAGGAAGTCGACTAAGTTTTGATTACAAGATTTGACCACGACACAGGAGTCAAGTAAAACCGTTGAAAAAAACTCCTTTAAAAAAGTTAATTTAAAAAAACAATGGTTTCATTAACAACTTCGTGTAACTCACGGTCTGAGAAGTACGTCGATGACGCCTGAGACACGCGGCGCCTGCGTTCTGTGCGAGCCGATTCCACAGTTTAGGGACCGCGGCGTTTTTAACCAACACAAATATATAAATAATAAGGCGTCCATACACAATGTACATTAAAGTAGCGAATTGATTAATGGATGCCGATTTTGATACTGGCATGCACTGTCACGGGATCTGAGTACGTGTGAAAAATGTGGACTTGATTGGACAACGGGAAGTGGACGAAATGTTGATGACAAGATTTGACCACGACAAGCAGAGGAAATCAAGTTAAGTAAAACCGTTGAAAAAAAATGGAGCAGTGCCGTAACGTTAATGAGAACTTCTCACGTGGCCATTCGTTGACGCACGAGTTACTGAATTAGAATCACGGCACTGTGCGTGGACGGAACAACGGGGCAGTCAAAGCAGGTGGCTCAAATGAGACACAAAAATACTTTTCGAGAATGTAAAAACTCCGGTTTGTTTTTTTTTTGTACCGAGCTAAGCTTTCCATGAGGACACGGTGCATCGCTTCTATCCCTTATCTCTTTTCCAGATTCACTCGCTGTCACGACTCTATTTAACGTGTGGCTGTTGTACACACTTAGGCGAGCAAAGCAGTCGTATATAAATAACACTATCAAGACGACAATGTTGGGTGCGGCCCTGCAGCGCTTGCACCTTGAGACTGCGACTAAATGCTTTCATTGCAGTCGAGTAACCACAGCGTCTTCACACGGAGATCTACCGGTTTAAAATGTGTCCACATTGCTGCGAGTAACCCCGTGGAGGGGTTTCTCCCTTCACTGTATAGGCGGTCGTAGAAGCGTTCCAAAATAAAAGTGGAACACGAATCGAAACCGCGTGCGACAGCTGCCCGCTGAGTAACGCGGCACGGTGGTGACACAAACAACTTTGTCCCACGTCCGACTGCACCAGGGGCCGTCCATAAATGACGTCACGCAATTTTTGACCCCCCTTCGTCACACGGCGTCACAAAAAGTCAGACCCCCTCCCCTAAAATATGACGTCACAAAGCTCTGCCCCCCCCCCAAAAAACATGCTTCAAATCGCTTTAAACTATTGCCATTGTAGGGCGTATTTAATGTGCTGCTGCACTCTGATGTGGGATAAACATTTAAAAGTCTATTTAATTAAGTAGAACGTGTTTATATTTATTTAAAGTTGCCCATTTTGATGTGACATCACATTTCTCAACCCCCCCATCACATCGTCACAAATGTCTGACACCCCCCCCAGGTGCGTGACGTCATTTATGGACGAACCCATAGCCGCGTGTGAGCGAATTCAAAGGGCGCAACATCGAATTTTGGGTTGAAATCGGTTCGCCACATATACGCGAAATTGTACAAACCGAACCCGCAGAAAGCGACAGGGAGCCTGTGTACATTAGAGGTATAGTGATGCATTTATTAATTAGTATGTATTTATATAATTACGTAATCGGAGTGTGTAGGAATAGGCTAAACACCAACCGAGAGGGGCTTTGTCGAGCGTTCTGCAGGTTCCTTCCCCCAATGAGTGGCGTGAGCAAACAAACTCGTGACTGACACTTTCACATTATCCTTCGACTCTTAAGCTCGAAATATATTCAATGAATCGTGTGCGTAAGAATCCGTGGGATTTTTTTTATTGTTTGCTTATTTGTATGTCTGATGTGCTTTGTTGATGTGATCTCTGCAGCTACCCGATGCATATCTGTGGGATGAATCGTGTCACTCAAGGCGTGTTATGTCGAGGCACTCGACGATAATTATGAATGCTATTCAGTTGCAGAGTATTATTGGGGTCCATGTACATTCCATTCACAGTGACCATACAAATTCAGCCGCTGCGTGTTAACTCGCCTGCCCCCAACAACATTGCTGGCATGGTAGCACAACGCAGTTGTCAAATTCTGCACATGACAGAAAAAAACGTCATGCTTAGCAGAGCATTTTTCTACAAAATACAAACGCTGATTAATACACACAATGCATTATTAATATATTTTTTACAAATAACGCACGTGTATATCCATATTTTATTTTATTCGCTTACAAGCACCCATCGCATTTGAAGGTTCTACATTTTTCTGAGTTATAAATGTCCGTGAGGAATGGTCGTGGTGAAAATGACTGCACATGATATCTTGTGTGTGCATACACGCCAGTGTTCAGCTCCCCCGTTTTTGACGAGCTGAGACCAAGCGTTTCCCACGAAGCAAACTTTAGTGTCGTGAACTCGCCAAGAACGTCTTGCAGACTATGCCATGCCCCACGTTCATTCAAGTGCAGGCTCAAGAGATAATTTTTTTTCTCTCCGACTGCGACACTTCTCTATAAAGTAAATATCCCCGCTGATTTTGGACCTCGTCCTGAGGTGTGGCCGTCCATGTAAATGCTATGCGAATCTAAAATGGAGTCTTGCGTGGTACAGTTCAACAGTTCTCGAACATTGTATTTGACACAATGGGCAAACTTCAGATGAAAATTGCCAGGGTTTGTGTGTGTGCTCTATAGAAGAAGAAAAAAATCAGCTTCATATGAAAACAAATAAAATAGTCCTGAAAATATAACAGGCATTTCTCTCGTACAATTCACACCGTCGTGTTCCCGTACACCTACCAGTCCAGTGTCAAAAATATCACCACATTGCCACGTCATGATTCCTGTATGCACAGCAATGCACTCTATGGATGTTAAATAATTTTGAAATAAACTACTGGAAATAGTGTGTATTGATATTGTTGGTCTGTCGAAGCCAGTGAATTACTCTGTGTGCATATATGCAATGATATGTTATTCAAGCATGTACTGTATAAATGCATGTGCAGTTTAAATATATAAAAGTGTATTCTTTCCCTCCGGCGGTCTATGATTGCCGCTCCCTGCTACTGTTCATGTCCAGGCTCAGACTTTTTCTTTCATCTGACTGTCTAATCTGTTTGAAATGTCTTCCAATGACTTCGCCCGGTATACAGGAGGTCGTGGGTTCGATCTCGACCCTGACGCCTGCTGTATATTTGGAGTTTGCGTGTTCTCCCCGTGGACACGTGGATTTTTCTCCGGGTCCTGTTTTTCCCTCCACGTTTAGAAACATGCGTATAGCTGCTATAAATTTCCACGTGATAAGCCTCTTCGTTGAGCTATCATTTGTGGTGAAGTCGCTTCTGAACAAGAGCTATATAGCTCAGTGGACTTTACCTGGTAAAATAAAACATTGTTTAGTTTCAGTTTATTAATATCTATATATGCATCAATATGTACTCTACTCTGGTTTATTTTTTTTTGGTCGTTGCCATAATGCAGGTGCATTTAGACTCCCATCATCGTCCTCAACTGCGACCTATCCACTTCTGGATGAAGGGCTCCCCAAGCCGTCGTCATTTGTC